ACAATGGCGGTGATATCACAATTAGTGGCATAATCTTTTTAGATTCGTCCCGTAGGTCCGGTCTAAAACTTCGATTTGTTTGATACCGCTTTTCCCTATCAACCCTTCGGTCACCGTGCTACTAAGGAAATGCTATCAGGAGCATTTCAGAAACGGCGGGCTGTACCCAATTTTCGATTAGATACAATCATATTTAAGCGAAACAGAACATTGGGCTTATTCAGGTGGATTGGCATATTTCTAATTATCCCTAAAGCAGTGAAAGACTTACTCTTGTGAATCTTTGGAGTCATCTTCATCTTCTGACATCGTTCCTTGAACCTTCAAACTTTGTAGAGCTATGGAACATACCGAGAATTACGCAATATCGAGAACCTACGGCTCTGAAAGTTCTGGAGAGTAATAGTCGACCGAGGAAGTCGACTTTCAACTATAAATGAGTATAAAAAATGAGACTAACCCTGGTACATTGCGAATTTCCATAACAGTTCAAGAAAGATAGCACTAGTTTTCATTCTTGCTTGATGGTCTGCTATGCCGGCCTTTATGCAGAAAGATAAGTATCGATTATACGCGCATGCATACATGCACGACGACATTTTCCCACTTAACTTACTTATGGGGTAGTAATGAACACAAAACTGACTTATTCGACACTGTGGTAATATAGCGCTGTCTTGAAAGGGTTAAACGGTCTTCGATACGTTCCTGTACCTACAATGGCCTGGATCCGCCATGTATCTGATTTACATTGAAAACTGGCAACGTACTTGTTCATTATTCGGATGGGAGCTTAGACCTTCACGACTACATGGAAAGATGAAAGGATTAGATGTTTTATGGAACACTCAATTTTAACGATAAGTTAGATCTTCTCATTTACAGTAACATTCCATTTTTAGAGGAATGAAAATTTTCAAATTTGTATGGGACGGCAAAGCACTGTCTTGTAAAGTCGGTGTATTTCGCAAGTGCCCTTTCGAATGTGATCCCACATCAAGCGGAAATTGGATGCATGACGCATCTTCTTGGAAGGGATTGATCAAGTTGGTTCAGAATTGAAAATCATCATTTTCAGTGTATGATGTGGTCTGTGTAAGCTCCATCAATCGGATCTTATCAAGTGAATCTTTCTCGGAACCTATTTTAAACCTTAAACAAACAACTCACGCAGCGATTGAATGACTTTGGGCAGGTGCTAAGCTGCTATTTGCTTTGCTACGTCGATCTTCAGTCTTCCCGAAATCATCTTTCCCATAACTCATCACATGGACTATAAATACTGCAAGTTCCTCTTCACTACCATCTCTTATCACATCTTTTTTCATACCAATTTTTGGTTATTTGAATCCAATACGGCTGTTTCAAGGTCCATCTACATTACTGAGCAACATTTGATCTGGAACATCGTGATCACCGTTTAATGCTTTGATTCCAGCCTTGTTAGGGTTCCAGGAATAGCTTCCCCATTTCGCATTTATAAATTAAAGCCCCACCGT